GTGAGTCAGTGAGGGGGCTGAACTCAGCACAGTAACCATCAAGCTCGTTGCTCCAACCCCCTCACGCTCACTGTCTCAGTAACTCTCAACTGCTGAATTTGCCCTGGTAGCACTCACTCCTCCTGCCACTAACAAATGGGAGAAGAAAAAAAAACAAGTTGTGTTCATTTTATTTTTTAAAAGGAATCACAAACAGTGACGAGTTTCTTCAGCAGATTTTGAAATCATTAAAACATTTTTAATTTGAAAAGTGAACCTGCATAGAATTGATGGTCGAATGAAAATGCCTCACAATTTGTTGTTCCCAGGCCCGTGTCAATACTGCCAGGAGCATAGAGAAGATGGAATACCAGTACAACAAGGCACAGCAGCACAACAGCTGGTTCCAGCAAGCTGCCGAAGCTCTGGAGGTGGATTTGGATGATGACGTCCTAATGGGTCAGTATCCTTCCTGCCGGTTGAAATATCTCATGCTCTACTTTAGTAAGAAGTTTAAAAGTTGGATGGAAGCATTGCTAAAGGTGTTTTGTACAAGTGTCATCCATCCCTTTGGTGTAAGGAACAAGTGCATAATTGGTGACAGTACATTATAAATGGATGTTTTCTCTAGTCTCAGATAACTATTTTCTAAGCCCCTGAGACACTGAAAATACTTGACCTGATGAAATACTGAAAAAAAATTACTCAAACCAATTACTCAGTCTAATTGCTTTGAACACATTTAAGTGATTGGGATCCACTAAACGCAGCTAAAGGGAATATGTATCAACATCAGTCAACTTCATGGAAGTGTTTCATAGCAAACTAATTATGGCTTTGTGTTTAGGTGGGAAGCATGACGAAGCTGATGAAAAGCAGAGACAAAGGATGTTGAAAGGAATGAAGAAAGAACTAAAACATATGCTCTCACAGCCTGTGTTCAAAAACTGCCTGATGACTAGGTACCCAACACAAATGGGCAGGTTAATATTGCCTGATTTACCAGTGGCCACCCAAGAATCCGCTTTAAGCACAATCATAAAACATAAAAAAAAGCAGCCATTGCATAAAAAAGCAAAATGCTGAGTGAACTTGTAAAGATGATGTACACAACTGTTGTGACATAGCAAATGGCCACAAGTGAATACCCCATTTATTTCGTTTAATAAAAAAAAACCACTTAAAACAGTGTTTTTCTTCAAAGGTGAAATAGCTGAGCATTAACTGTTTGATTAAAGTAGGACTGAGAGTACAGTAGAGGATACAGGTTGTGAGAAAGAACACAAAATGAATCCTATTAAAAGTTATAAATTCAATGCAGTTTGGCTACTAGATCTAGACGTACCACTTTACAGTGCACTAAAAATAGTTAGCGTGAGTTAATCTACCTCGTATTCTGTGCAATACCATGTGGAAAGTGGGACAGCATTAACCCATTGAATATGGCAGATAAGTTTCAAGCACTGACATTTTTTGAATGACCACCAAGAACTATTCTCAAACTTGATTAACTTGGCAGTGTCTGTAATGTGGCCCTGGTCATCATTAAGTTTTAGGTTTGTACTTAATGCAAAATACATTTTTAAAACAAGGAAAATTTGTTTTTAAAAAAGCGCTTCCACAGTGGATGGTGGGAACTGGAGGAATGGTAGATGAAATGTTTTGAAATGTAAAATATAAAATAGAAGTAATGCGGTGAACCCAGTTGGAAGTTTAGTTTTGGGGGGAATGTACGTTAGTGGGTTTGAATTTCTGCTAGCACAGTTATCATCTCGCTTAGGGTAAGACTGCCGGCAATTTAACTTACCATTAATAATCCCTGCAGTTGATACAGCACCTTATCACATTGAAATGGCTCAATGTGCTTCACAGCCATTAAGTGTAGTGACTGGATTTGTAGGTCAATGCAGCAGTTAATTTCCACACAGCAATGTCCCATAAAGAGACATGAAATAAATAACCCAGTTTAGATCTGGAGGATTACTGATCAGGCTGGCTAACAGGAGAATCTTCCTGTTTTGTGCTTGAACATATCTCTGGTATTTGAGCAACCAGAAGTTAGCACATTTTTGAATACAGATGTAATTTTGAAGCTGTTGGTGTCTTTTAAGACATTTTTTAAAGTTGTATTTAATTGATTGATATCTGCTGAGCAGCAGCCCTGCCTGAGGCTTCGGCAAAGCACTGAACTATTGTGAGACAACTTGGAAACGGCAATATTTTCTTTTCAAAACCAGCATCAAACACAACAGAGAGATCACCATAAAGACGCACGAGCTTCCAAAGAACTACCGTGATCATAGACAACGCACTGAGAGATGGGTCAGTTTTCAGTGGGATAGTGACTTTTTAATGCACTATTTGAAATCAAAAAAGCATACTTTTTAAGGCAAGCCCGGCCACATCTCAAATTAAAATTCCGGTACGCCCAGAGTTTTAAACTAAAGCCTCAACAATGTTAGACAACATTTTGAAGTTGTTGTATTTAATTGATTTGAGATCTTCCACCTTTACGCTGAGCAGCAGCCCTGCCTGAGGCTTGAGCAAAGCACTGTACTATTGCAAGACAACTTAGAAACGGCAACAGGAGACTTAAGTACACTTCTCTAATTGACGAAAAAGTGCAGGTTGTAGTTTTGTTGTGAAATCTGGAGCAGGAACATGACGGATAGGAGCTACAGCAATATCTAGAACATCAACTTGGTTTTAACGAGTTGAGCTGCTCAAAGCAGCTGCCGTTCTGGTCTCTTTTAAGACGGTGTTGGCCAATCCATGGCCTGTGGGCTAAAAGTGTCTCGTCGAACATTCGCACTAGTCCAGGTAAGTGTGTTGGATCAGTATTTTGTTTCCAGGAGCTACTGAGCTACCTGGATATTTGTGGTTTGGCCATGAATCAAGAAATATTCAAACAAGAAAAATGTATTTGGTTGACCGACGAAAGGTTGGCCACTACTGCTTTAAAAGCTAAGTCTCCTACGAAGGTTAACGTAAATCTCCTGCTCAAAAGTTAGCAAGAAATAGCATTAATTGATTTCATAAGAGATTTCATACATTGTAAACTTAAACCTGCTCTGCAAGTCTCTACTGGAGGAAATGCACTGCTTTTATCTGCAAAGCTTGGACAGGTAGTAAACTCCTCCACAGGAACTGCTCCCAGAAATGACAACTCAATGTAATTACTTTTCAAATCTATAGCAGAGCGCTTGGGATATTTATACCTTAACCCTTTGTAGCAATGCTGTATAAATGCATTATATGTATTACGTGAATATACATGTACATATTACTATTACATATGTACATATCCAAAACCCGATTGTCCAGCGCCCTGGGACGTCTTTCCGACGTGAAGGGTGATATACAAGTGTTGTTATATGCATACAAAAACATATTGATTATAAGACCAAAACACAAACAAGCATGTGGTGTACCTGGAAAACAAATTAGATTTTAACTCTTAGTTTGTCATTCATTCACCTGGGCACATTATGTTCATTCTCCCAACAGGCAGGCCTTGCCCAGAGGCAGAAAACCATGTGAAAGATTACCACAGCTGATACACATGACAATACCATTGAAACAGGATTTGATTTGCCACGTATAAATAAATCACTAACACACTGAACTTTCAATTCAAATTTAAGTTCTACTCAGAAGAAGAATGTGATTAGCGACTTAATTTACCTTTATTGCAGACATGCATTTGAGTTGGACTGGAAAGAAAGGAATGCTTTCATCTTTTCCCAAGGCCTTGCATATTTTCTTGAAGAAAAGCAGGTCACTTGGGCCGACCATCATCAACGCTAGGCCAGCCTTCGAAGCTCGAGCAGTTCTGCCGCTCCTGTGGACGTACGTCTCTGTCGTGCGGGGAATCTGTATGAGCAAGCGATAAGACAATTGAATGTTAATAATCCTTGCACTTGATATAGCGCCTTATCACGTCTTCGAGACGCCACAGGATACACTGAAGTGAATTGACTGTATATTTTGTGGGCGAAAAATGGCAGCCAATTGTGCACAGCAGTGTCCCACAAACAGTCATGGATTGAGTGACCAAATGTAGTCTTAAAAGAGTGGCAGAAAGTCAGCACTGTGTAAAATAAGACTGTAATAACACACTTAACTCTTTGGTACTGTAAGTTTACACATGTCAGCACTGGAATACTGAGGGAGATTGTCTTAGAATGTTCACTTGAAAGCTATATTCTAAAAGTGCTTTCAGCCGAATCGTTTAATGGAATTTCAGAATTTCCGACATTACTTTCAGCCTTACCTGATAATGGAAAACATGCTGTACATTGGGAATATCTAGACCCCGAGCTGCAACATCCGTGGTTAGCAAAACACAGCTGAAATATAAACCAATGAAGTTATTGGATTCGTGAAAAGATTAAACATCAATTCATTAAAATAATTCAAACTGAATCAGGCTGCACTCCTGAATAGTTCCTTTGAAATCCCTGGGCAGCTAACATATGCCCATTTAATCATCCTTCCAATATACTAAATCCTACCATCTTCCCATTTTAGCATCAAGTTGCATTTTAAATGAGTCCAATGACCTTTTTTCTGCTGCCTTAGCTGGATGTATCCAGGGTAAAGAGAGCTGTTTGTGGTCAAAAAAGCTCCCAACTCATAAGAGGTTCGCAAATAAACTAAACTGCCCTCCAAGCTCCAGATACAACTGCTCATACTCATAGCTGATTCCCAACTGAACCCTGAAGTTAGATCATAGCTTTAAAAAAAATTCCGAGTCCCTCTCTTATGCTCACACTACACACCTCTCTCTTTCAGCAAATCTTTCCAAGTTCTTCAACCTTTGCTTCTGATGCATGTTTGCATGCAGTGGCAGTGGGTTACATTCCAGGTGAGTGAGCAGTCCGTTCAGACGTCTGATACAGTCGATACTGTTAGCGAAGACCATGGTTCTCCCTGGATACTGAAGCAGGAAGTAATACAGATAGAAATCTTTCTCTTCCGCCTGGCACTGGATTCGGGTTTCAGTCAGGGTCTCGACTGTGCCCTCCTTTCTGGTCAAGTCAATCACTTTGGGTTTCGTCCTCATTCCTATTTTTTGCATTAGGATTTCTAGCTTGGTGTCTTTATCGATATTTTTGCCGTGCTTCTTGCTCAGGATTCTCGAGGGAGCCTGGTGAACCATGGTCAGTGTGGCGGAAAACACAAAGATTCTTCTCTTCGGATGGTATTCTTTGTTATTCAGCAACTCCAAAAGCTCAGTCAGTTCAGCAAAATGTCCCTTTTCAACCATTCGATCAGCTTCATCAATCACCAGACACCTGGGTCAATCGGACAAGGATATCAAATATTCAGCACTTGCAGGTCAACAGTATTCCTAACTTCAACTGTGTCACATCTTTATCGCCAGTTACTGTGACAATTAACACAATAGATCTAGTTTGCCCAAAAAGCCAATGGTTTAATTTTTAATTGATAATAATAATCCTTGCATTTGATATAGCGCTTTATTACGTCTTTGCGACGCACGTGGGAAGACTAAAACAACATTAACGATGTTCAAAATGTGCACAAACTGCAAGGGACCTATTATTTTTTTGAATGTGGTGCTGGCTCACCTGAGCTGTCTCAGGTGACTGAGGTGTGGATGTTTTTCCTTTATCAGATCCCACAGTCGCCCGGGTGTTGCGATCACAATTTCAGGCTTGCGACTCAGAACCCTCTCCTGTTTCTGTGGGGCCATTCCTCCAACTAGGATTGCGGTTCTGATCCCTGTAAAGTTAAGAATTTATGAATGTTTTTATTGGTGTAAGTGTTAAGAAATACTAAGAGGAAACAAGAGACCTGAATTACTCATTGTCTTAGCCTTAAAATCATGATCTTAAAAATTTTAAATTGCAAAGTGCTTTGGAACAATCTTAAATTCTATTGAAATTTGGAAGATAGTTTAACCTGGGTCTTTTTAAGAACTGTGAAAAGCTAGCTTCAAAGTTATGCCTGAATTTAAGAATTTTCCACAGTTCTGCATGATCATATATCAAGCTAACATGAAACACCCATTAACACTGGTGGTTTAATGGGTTAGGTTCGCATGCTACCCTTCCCCTCTGGGCATGTGAACCATGGACATTCTCAATCTATTTCCCAGTGGATGTGAGCTTGTCAGCAAAAAAAATCAATTTGTCAGAAACTGGCAATTTCCTAAAAGGACCCATCAGCAGCAAGAAAATTTAGTGCTGCTCTTTCCAGCAAATAGGAGCTTCTAGCCAGAGCAAAATAGCTGCATTCTGACCGCACTATAGCTGACCCAAGACACCAGCAACACTGAGAAGCATTCCATTATCCAGCACTGACATACATCACCTTGATGAGCACATGGAAATCACCCAAATAATCGTTTTGGCCAATAAAGGTCAATTCCATTTACATTACAATCTTGCATGTACAGTATTTCATTCTCTCCTCCCCCACCTCCCCTCCCACTGCTGAAATATTATACAATTTCCAAATTCAAAGCACTGACCTTCTCCTCCAAAAGGAGTAAAATAAAGTTTAAATGACTGTTTTAATCTCCAAATCCAATTATAGATAAAACGCAAAGACTTTATTTTTTAACGAAGAGCAATTTTAAATTGAAATGAAAGCAAACTGAAATGAAAGCCAGTTAACTGTATAAATTAATGTCACATTTATTCCACTAGAATAGTGGGAAGCAGGGAAAGAGATTCGGGTAATTAATTTGCTTTGGATATATTAACTCCCCACTTCTAAATATTTAAAAAGAGTGAAGAAATATATAACATAAGAAAACCATGGCCCACTAATAAAACAGGCCATTATGGTGTGCTAAAATGAACTAAAGTTCCCTCTCAGTTTTTGTCAAACAATTGTCACATTTCTGGTTATTAGTATTCTTACGTGCAGCAAGGAATCATAGAGGTTAAAAGCTGTTAGTGAGTTAATTAAACATTGCACACCCAGATCGTTCTAGTCAATTGCAACTTAAGCAGAGATTTACAGTACCCACTGCTAACTTCTAAATACTGCTGTATCATAGGGAATATATTTGAGATTGTTGACCAATTAAATGGTTAAAATAGTAGCTATAAAATATTTGGAAAGCCACACCGTTTCCCTGGACTTACCAGCACTCTTAAGGATAAATCATGCAATTATAAACACATCCATATCAACTCTGATAACCACTCCTATAAATGATAATTATAATTCCCTAGTGTATTTTCTGATGTCATGCAGTTCCTGCATACCTACCAGTGAATTTGGCTACTGCATCAATATGATGCTTCACCTGGACAGCTAATTCCCTAGTTGGAGTCAGTACCAGCCCCATCAATGGATTTTCATCATTGCAAACAGCATCAACTTCAAAATCAATCGCCGCGTTGTTGATCACTTTCACGCAGCCCAGCTTGGGGGAGCCATGCTCATCTTCACTCTCGTTCACCTCCACCTCCTCTTGTTCTTCCCCGGCACATTCCAGCACATCATCACTGATTGGATCTTGATTGTCATTCTTAGAGTTGTCCTGGTTGCTGTCCGGAACCTCCTCACCCCTTTTCAATTTTGTTTCTTTGGCTTCTCTCCACTCCAATATGATATTAATCATTGGAATAGCAAATGCCAGAGTTTTACCGCTGCCTAAAAGTTAAAAAGACAAAACTGACGAAACTCATAAAAGGACAACATTCAGCATAAAATGTTTTTTTCTAATCATCTCCTAATACACAAGAGAGAAGAAAATAAATGTTGTCTGTGGGGCTGAGATGCTTTTATAGGATGCAATTTGTCCAAGTAACTGCCCAACCACAAAAGTTGCTCAAAAGAATCAATGCTTATTTAAATCATGTAAAGTTGAAGTTACAAGTAAAGAAAATATTTCTCTACTGTTCAAGAGAAATATGAATACCGCAGCAGAGATTAAAATAAAATACACTGAACTTTCTAAACGCCATTAACTTGCTTGCCTAATTTTACATTGATATGTAATAACCTTGGCACCAACCTGTTTCTGCAGCACCTAGAATGTCCATTTTGTCACGAATGGCGGGCGGCAGCACAAGTGCTTGGATGGGAGTTGGAGCGCTGTAGCCAAGAGAACTCAGGGCTGAGAGAACTGGCTCTGGGACAAACAAATCTTTCCAGGCGGAGACGTCGGCGGATTGGTTAAGCGACTGGGACTGATTTGCTGCTGTCCAGTTTTTCACTTTCTTGCCTGAGTTAGGGGGTCGAGGTAACTCTTTTTGTTGAGAAGTTGCTGATTTTTTCTTCTTCCTCTTTTTCTTTTTCTGGGGCGCTATGGAGCCATTATTCGTTTCTCTCACTCCCTGATTATTCTTTACTAAACGTTCAATTTCATTCACATCTTCGGAGAAACAATCAACATCCTCCACATTCTTGAGGTGCTGATCTGTGGCATTTTTCTTCTTTTTCTTCTTCTTTGTTTGGGGAGATATGGGTGAATCATTTCCGCTCGTTTTCAGCTTCTTTGGAGAGGAAGAGTCCAAGGACACCTCCAATTGTCTCTTTTTTGTCTTTTTCTCCGCTCCTTTCACAGTGCTAACCGATTCATAATCTGTAAGTTCTTCAAAGCAGATAAGGCCCCCCAAATCTGCCTCACCAAATATACTTGGGTCAATGTCCATTGGCTTCCATTGTCCAGTTACTTCAAACCTTTTCCTCTGTACTTTAGGAGGTGCAAAAAATTTCCTCTTTGTTTTCTGCTCTTTCATGATGACCCTGAAAAAAAAAATCAGTTCTGACAGTTATTAAATAGACTACATCATCAACTGTTTCACTGGTAAAAATCACACTGATGGCAAGAGGCCAACAGGCTTTAGTCTCCATCCAACATCCACATGTCATCCTGTCAATGGACATCAATCAGCAGTTACTGGATAGCTGGACAAGCACCACGAAACTCCACCATTGCACGTGGTGTAGCACTTTATTAAAAATGACATTTGTACAGTGCCTTCCACGTCAGGAGGACGTGCCAAGGCACTGACATTTTTCACGCTGGAAGGACGTCTCAAAGCGCTTCACAGGATTTGCTATCAAACGAAGGGACTGTGCGTTTGTAGGCAAACGCTGCAGCACAATTCGGCACAGCGTCGTTCCCACAAACAGCCGTGAAATGAGAGTGTGGGGTGGGGGGGATTGCTGCCCAGGTCACTGCCTGGTAACACGTTAGAATCACAGCCGTCAGGAACGCCGGCAAACATAGCCGTGGCTTTTCCTCCTCCTTCACGCCTTTGAACACTCTCCGCGCAGTGGCACTACGCAGCCGCTACGTTCCGCGAAGTGCATTGGGACAGTCTGGAAGACGCGGTCGGCGCTACAATAACAACAACAGCAGCAACTGCCAGAAATAACAGTCCTTGTGTTTGAATACGGCGCCTCTCAGCGCGGCTGCCGGACGCCTCGAAGCGCCTCTGTGAGGGGGAGGGGTGTACGTACGGCGCAGAGCGTAGGGACCGCGGCTGCTTTCCGGGACGCAACGCGGCAGCCAAACCGCCCGCGGCGATGCCCCACAGACACCGGTGGGTTGAAGCGACCACAGTTATTAGGGCTAAAACCTGAGAGGTTTAGATTCCAATGCAAAGATTATTATTATTAAGTGGTTAATTGTAATAAGACACTTTGCCTGAACACACACACACATACACACACACGTGGGGACCAGGCCTCAGGCCCCGGGCCTACCCCGCTCCAGGGCCAGGGCCGGGCCCGGGTGGATCTGATCTGATCCCGGCCGTGACCCCGAGAGGGAGAGGGAGGAGGAGGAGGAAGGAGCCACCAGCCGCCCTGTGACCTGTTTAACCAACCTGAGGGGAGGTGCGGGGGGGAAGATAAAAGATGGCGCCTTCCTCACCGTCTCCTCGAGCTGAGAGCTGCCGGCGCCGGGTGGTGGGGGCGGGGCGTGTCCCCAGGAAACGGACTGGCAGCCAATCAGAAGGCTGAATTATCAAGACGATGGAGTGATAGCCAATCAAGAGGCTATAATTTCCAAGGGATCCAGCAATGTCCACCCATGCACTCACCAGGCGCAGATACTGGAAGTAATTAGGAGTTGAAACCTTGGCTAATCTTACTCTCTCCTTGCCAAACTAGATAAGCCAACCTGTTAATGCGATTGTTTATAGGATCATTTGTACGAATATTGATTCAGCCTGCCCGTACACCATTTGGTCATAAAGGCAATGATTAGATAAGGAAAATAATATTTTGTCCGCCATTGGAGATGCTCCCCAATAGCCATTGTTGTGCTGTTTAGATAATTCCTAACGAAAACACTTGACTATTTATAGCCACTTATAATACCAAAAAGGTCTCAAAGTTAATTGCTGTCACGTAGCGGCTGTATTTGTAAGTCATGTTTATTTTTGAATCTCTTTACTAATGAAAGGAATCGCATTTTAAAGTTTGCTTTGTTTATGGCGCCAGGCGTTACAAATTGTGATGGCTGGTCCCGATCAAGATTCATCACCTCATTGACTCCGCTGACTCCGCTGTCCATTCGAAATGCTAACTCGACAATTGTATTGATTTTACAATAATTTATTTTTGGCCTCCAATTTTCTATCCATTCATTCCCCTGTGCGTTCGCAAGTACTTATGCCTTGCCCCTCTCTTTTTGTAGTGTTACCGGATCTTTACTGTTCATCTGAAGAGCAGTCAGACTAGACATAGGTTTAGCATCATTTCACAAGGAGTGTAATGTCTGACAATGTAGCATTCCCAGACGTACACTGGAGTTCCAGTCTGGACTATGAATTCAATTCCTGCAATGAAAGTCCCAACACATCAATAGCATCAAAGGTATCATAACGCCTCCCATTTTTGTATGAAGAAATCTAGTCAGCGCCTTGGGACGTCCTCCGACCCTATGCAACTGGTTGCTGTAGCATAGGTTCATGCTGCTGAGCATAGTTTTCTCAGTTTCCTTTGTGTGCTTTGATATGAGAGTAAGCGGGCCGGTTAGCTGGAGTATATAAAAGATTGTTGGTGCACACAGAGAGATAGCAAATAAATAAATCTCCTGTTTTTTAAAAAAATACATATTTTGCATTCACGTTCTCCTTCCGTCGATTACTGCATGACGGTGGCTCAAACTGCTGAGCCTTACTGAATCACTGGTACTATTCGTACTCTCGCAGTGCAGTAGAGATTGCATTCAGTTGGGGTCAGGATGACCTAAGCAGCTTCTGATCCCCCAAGGTTTGTAACTTGGCCTCGCTGACTCATGGAGCGAGCGGATTCTTTGCCAACAGATAAGCAGACTTCTAATTAGGAGAAAATGGCGAGACTGGCACATCAGACTTCATGTTCATTTTCAGTTTTGCAATTTAAGCTGATATCGTTTATGGTGACGAGGTAATTGGGAAAACAAAACACCCTGTGTTCACTGTAATATTTTTTTTGCATTTATATAGCGCACCTCAGGCAGGTTAGCGTCCCATAGCGCTTAATTAAATCAAATATTCACAGGAAATTAATGACTTAATCTATTTATGTTAGAAATCTTTTTGTCACTTTTCCTCCCCTTGCTTGACCTCTTTTTTTTTCTCCTTTTTCTTGACTACTTTCCACAGGCGTTCTCTCACCTAAGTGACCATTATTGAAGTGTGAACATTAATAGTATATCTCAAAGGGCTATTCAGTCGTGAAGGAAACTGTTCCTATCCCCACTCATACGTGCAGCTCTATCTGCAGTCACTAGACAACACTTTGGGAGAGGTAACCTTGCTTGATTTACCTCCCTACTTGAGATGCTGAGGTTCATTGTAGCACCCTTATTGCCAAGCTATCTTAGATCACCTAACTCACCAGAGACCAACTCTATGGTCTGCATGGCTTAGCTACTCATTGATAATCTTGGAGCCGCTCTGTTTCTAAGTAAAATCATGATTAATAATCAGCGTAACAGCTTCTAGAGTTATTGACGCTAACAATGAGAGATTGAAATAATATCAGCAGCAAATGCAGTCATTCAGGAAAGGAGTGTGGCTGGAAAAGTTGCCCACAAACAATCATTAACTGTGGAACAAAAGAAATAAGACTTTCTCTTTAGCTCCATTTGCCCAATTCAGAATTAAGTGTGCCGCTATCTCCTAAGTCGAGTTACAGTTGTGAGATTGGTTGGTATCAATAAACTAGTTTTGCAGTTTCTATCGTGGATTAAATGGGGGGTGGGGAGGGTGTGAAGGAGGTTATTGTTCCCAATAGCTTGAGCACCCAATTCCGTTTTCTTTACAGCAGCAGCCTGTCTGAGCTGCGAAAGGAAAGCATTGGTTGAAAGAATAAAAATGACATAGCCAATCATGTATAGCACCCATTTATTATGGAAAATACATCATTTTGTTTCAAAACTTCTACAAAGTTCATTTTTTCCTTTGAATTGGTAGAGCATTTTGGGACAAGTGCAGAACCAGCTGCAGGCAGTCACTGCACCTTATAGAAATGTTTCCATTCATGCTAATCCAATTTAATTTTCGGCTCTCTTTTCTGTTCTTTGCACAAAGCAAAGCAATCTTGATGCTCACTAAAGCAAATACAGCGCTGCAATACTCCAACTCTCAGAATATTGCACAGAATATTGGCACTTAATCTTAACGCAAAAAAAATTGTAGTCAGTTCATTGCAGTTGATGGGATGTTACATAGAATTACATAGCACAGAAGCAGGCCATTCAGCCCAACTGGTCTATGACAGTGTTTATGCTCCACATGAGCCTCCTCCTGCCCTTCCTCAACTAAGCCTATCAGCACAACCTTCTATTCCTTTCTCCCTCAGGTACTTTTCTGGCTTCCCCTTAAATGCATCTGTGCTATTCTCCTCAATTAGTCCTTGTAGTAGCAAGTTCCACATTCCACATTACTCTCTGGGTAAAGAAGTTTCTTCTGACCCTATTAGATCTGCTTTTAAATTGTTCAGAAAAGTCATATTTTTCTGAGCCAGGGTTACACATTGTGCTAATGTAACGTAAATTCTGGAGTTCACTATGGCAGTGAAAGTGTTTAAATGAGGAAAGTAAACACTTAACTGCAATGCTTTCGCTCACAAAATATACAGTCGAGTCGATTCACTTTACAATATATTCTGCAATGTGCTTTGAGACGTCTCAACGATGTGGTAAGGCGCTATATCAAATGCAAGGGTTATTATTATTATTGTTATATTATAATGCTGAATTGACTTCAACAACAACAACAAGATTACATTTGTATTGCTCTTTTCACATTGGGAGGACGTCCCAAGCCGCTGGACAGTGTACAGCATTTCAGACTTATTCTCATGAGATTATTCTCACAATGAAACTGTTCTGTTTTTTTTCAATTCCAATTTTATACGCTTCCAGCTTTGGTAGATTTACATCAAATATACATTGATTTATTAAATATTTTAGTGGCTGTAAAACTAGGAAGGCGAGATCCTTTTGAATATACTGGCCCTCAAATGAAAATTCTATTTGATTTATAAAACAATTAAATATTTGGCACTTTAACCATCCATGTTGTATTTTAGTGTTCGAAATGTTTAATTGCGTTCAGTTCAAAATCAGTTGGCATTTTAATATATTCGCACTGCAATGACGTATTGAGAATAATCCTTGCATTTGATATAGCTTCTTCTTAAGTTCCTGAGATGTCTCAAGTACTTCATAAGATTTTCAATGAAGTGTAGTAACTGTGTATTTGTAGGCCAGTGTGGCAACTAATTTGTACACAGCGATGTCGCACATTGTTGCGAAATACCAACTAACGTTGGTTAGGACATGGAGAGAAATTCCCTTCTCTTTTTGAATCGTGCCATGGGATACTTAACGTTCACCTGAACATCAGCAAAACATGACACATCATGCAAGATTCCAGGCTTTTCACATTTTAGTCCAACAAGGAATTCAACTAACCTGCAGATTTTCAAGAGCAAACCGGGATTCTGGCGGTGCCGAATATTTGCAAGACAACATGTTTTCCATTTTTGTGCATCAGAATGGACTGAACAGGGAAAGTGCTGCTTTTGTAGGCAAACTTTGTTTAAGGACACAAGAATTTGCTGGTGAAAGAAGACCAAGGTCCATCTAGTTTGCCTTCCAGTGACCTGGGAGTTGCTTGACATGTCACGTCCACAAACTATATGTATCCCAAGATATTATTTTCAAGCAGAAATCGATCCGATTTATCCAATTTGTTCTTGAAATAAACAAAATTTTCTGCTTCCCTTGTCTCCCTATAGAGCCTGTTCCATAAGTTTACTACTCGCTCACTGAAATGTTTGCACAGCATGCCATGGACACCAGTGCTCCTGATTTGACCTCGCCAGTCTGTTGTTACACAACTTTTAACAGACCTCAGGGATTTTGCTGCTAGTTACAGTGAACGTGCAATAACAGGACAAGGTTTCGCCCACAAAATACAGTCAATTCACTTTACGGTACACTCTGTGAAGCGCTTTGAGAAATCTCGAAGACGTGATAAGGTGCTATCCAAAATGCAAGGATTATTATTATATTTTTATAAGGTTTCCTGGATTCCAGCTGCAAATCGAGTACACAATACATTGTTCATTTTGTGCACACCACATTGTAACTTGCCAGGTAGAATCAGTGATGAGAAACAAGCCCTCAGTCCAGGGCAATCCATGATGAATCAACAGTATCTCAAACATGTGGCTACGACTTTGCTTCATCAGCACAGCAGCGGATCGCATATTTGGGGGGAAAAACACTTGTTTTCCCTCCTGATTATTTTTTCCAAAGAAAATAAAAATAGAAAAGTAAAATGGATTTTCCTTCCTTTCTTACTTCCTTCCTTCTTCGATCTGATTCCTTCAAAATCTCCCGGTCCCTCTGATTTCCCTTCATCTTCCGCTATCTGTCTTTCTGCCATGTTTTTTCTCTCCTGTTTCAGCGATGGCT